TACTAACAGTGTTTGGACAGAATATCCTGTCTGCTTCTTGTAGTATGGATAACCACTAAGAAGGTAACAATGGACAGTGTATTGATTATCAAAACTGTCCTATTAATCAGCTGTGAAACTGTCTCATTCATATTTATTTCTCAATAAAAAAAAATTAAAAAAGACCTTTTACAACACCTGCATCCTAGAAGTTTGGGGGATATTACACATGATAATATCTATGTTTTTTCCCACATCCAGGTAATGAAAGGGTACTAAGAAATACTGGATAAATGAAGGAATGGCTATATGAACGAGCAATACACAATTATTATTTCTGGCTTCCAACAGAAGTGTTTTCTTTTATCCAGTAGTGTTTGCAGAAGTTTGATTGAAGGATTCCATTGATATCTAGTCCAGGGTAAATTTAGAGAGACTCCAGTACCTGTGCAGATCTATCTTTTCTGAGCTAAAATAAAAAATGTTGGAACTGCTTTCTCACCCAGCAGTATTGAATGACAAGAGTGGTTGAGAAACTATCAGGGACCATAAGGTCAAAGTGATCATGACAGGAAGCCACCAGAAGGCATCCAGAGGCAGTCTTGTCCAAGTGGTAAGTAAGTTAGGGGGGCCTTGGGACAATCACCTCACAGGGCCTTTTCCTCCTGCTCCGTGCCTACGGGTCTCGCTGCACCTCAGTCCTGAAGGGTTGCTTCTTTCCATCTGCACCAAATCCTACACCCCCTCTAAGCACTCCTTGCACACTTCTTCCTGTAGGCAATGCCCCTTCTTACCTACTCAGCCAACCTCATTCATAGCTGGTCTTTAAAACAGTAGCTCAGTGCTACCTCTTGGAGATTAGGTACCTTTCCTATGCTCAAAGACAGGTTATATTTTTCTCTGTCACATTACTTAAAAGATTCATCTTTGGCCCCAGCACAACTTCCTGTTTCTCATATCTGGATGCTCAGCATAGCAACTGATGTCATGGAGTTGACCTAGGCTTCATGTGCTTTCTGGGCCCAATGAGGACTGTAAGCCTAGGTTGTGTATACCTGATGAAGGATTAAATGAGGTAATCAGTACAAAGTGCTGCTCCCACTATGTGAGATGTGGTCAATAAATGCTGCCTGTCATCACTATCTTGGGAAATAATCCTCTTCCCACAGAAACAGTAGAAAACTGTTGACATGTGGAAATGATACATACAATTTCTTTAGCCATAGAGAAAGATTTTTTATTCTTTTTTTACATGAACTGAAATGAGTTTTGAAGATTTATATATTACAGTATTTGACAGTACTTTTTAATCCTAGTCTCAAAACATTCAACATTGTCACACCTCACTAGGAGACCAGCATATAAGAAGCTTAATTTTAAATAAGCTAAGCAAGACAAAATTAATGGTGGCCATTCTGTTTTGACTTGAAATTTCAGCATAATTATTGGACAGAAGGATAAGGAGAGGACTGTCTTGGTTCTATATCCGCTGGGATTTAGGATTCATTTAGGATTCATTTCCTTGGCATTTAAGTACATCACTTAATACCCCATTGGTCATGGGTGACACTTCAGGCTGTGTTAAGAATGTAGATGCATCAGGCACAGAAGTCAGAAGACTCAGCTCCAAATTACTCACAACCCTTTCACCTAAGAGGCTTACAGAGTTCTTCCTCCAGCAAAGTGGATGATCAGCTTACTTGTTAATTATATTGCCTGAAATTCAAGACTCTGGAAGATGATCAAATGCAAGGGCAGGTTCAACCCTGAAATTCAAAACCCTTCTCTGCCCCTCTCCATATGGATTTCAGTGCATAATTCAGGCCTTGTTCTCAGAGGGTATGAAAGCACTTTCAAGAAAATCTCTCCTTGGAGTTGACATCAGATTTCCTCAGAAAATCAGAATATCTCCTTTGCTAAGCACAAATAATTTCGATGAATTTGAAAAGCCATAAATAGAAGGACAAGGACAGAAGGTAAAATCAAGGTTGGTCTCCCCTGGCAGATAGAGCCTCGTGGTAAACTCTTCCCCCAGCTCTCAGTAGCTAGGGGACTCCAGCCACGTTCAACCCACAAAGTTTCCGGCCATTCACAACTTTGTTCATACTGAGACCTCTACTGGGAGAACCTTTCCCTCTG